GACGGGACATTATAATATTAAAAAAAATTCTGCTGTTCAATGAAGTCGCGTTGCGTTTCTGGAAGTTTTATCTCGTTTATCGGAGGACTGAGTTGAGGATAGTTGACCTCTTTATACGCGCGAGATGACGGTATTGTCCATGATGAAATATTAACGACTATATCGTTCGTTGTTCGTTAATCAACTTTGAATTGTATATTATATTCCCGTTTGAATTTTGGCTTCGATTGAATCGATTTTTTTACAGATCAATCGTTCGATAGGGAACAGGAAATGAATTGGGATAATGATATTGAATAATGGGATAGACAGGGCGCGACGGAATGTTTTTGAATCTTGATGCACATCGATGATTCGTTTAATGGCCTTGCTCTTTTTCGTTCGCGTCTCCGATGCAGTTATTTCTTCGTGGCCCCGTGGATTTAATTGCATGTAAATGCTTTACAGTTAGAGATAAAAACGTTAATTCGTCTCTTGCATCTCGTGCGAGTTGGTAGACAACTAGATCAAGTGCGGTCGAGTTATCTCTCCGTTTCCGGTTACACGGCGTACGTGATTACGAGGATGGTTCCGTCGGCTCGTCGGATCAACGCGAATCTGAATAACCATTTTTATGTATTTATGGCAACGGAACCGAAATTTTTGCGTTACAAAGACACGACGATTAAATGAGCATTTGCGAGCGCGCGCCTACACGATCATGCAAATTGTTCATTTTCATAGTTTCACGTTGCACAACGAGTTGCGTATACTTGGTGTTCCGGTGAAAAAAGAATTTTCGATTGAGGACGATGAGGTAACTCTTATAACGCTTATTTCTGTATAATGATTCGGTTGAGAAGTAATATGATTCTCAGCGAGTAACGCTCGTTATGTTACGTTCGAATCGTGATGTCATGACGAAAAAGCAAAGCTATGAGAACCATGGGCGAGCCCATGTGCTGATGTTATTACTCCAGAAATAGACGAACTTTTATGTATACTGTGGCGTTCTGGGAAAAAATATATGTTCGGCACGGTACGCGTGGATAGGTTTTGAAACTTGTATTTCTGTATGTTTATTTTATTTTCAATTTACCATTTAGAAATATATTTTATTTTATTTTAAACTTAACAATTTGAATTCTAACAGTACCAAAATAGTATTTAGAAGTATATTTTATCTTTATTTTATTTTAAATTTATCATTTAGAAATATATTTTATTTTATTTTGAACTTAAGATAAAATATACTTCTAAATACTATTTTGGTACTGTTACAATTCAAATGTTCAGTAATTAATTGTTTTTTATTGAACAATTACTCTTTACATTGATGAAGTTTTATTCAATTTGAAACTAGTAATGCTAAGCTTAAGTTGATTTAATGATCTGAATTAAATTATAGATTTTCTAATGTATTCGTATACAGGTGATCTGTGTTATTAAATTTCCTGTTTCGTGTCTTTATGCACTGTTAATTATTGAAGGCTTTACAATGTGTATTTCTGAATAAAATTATTTTAAATTGTATGCATTTCAGATGTACTTGTGTTCACTGTTGCCACTAATGAGACTGATGGATATAAGAGATATCTTTGGTCAGTTGATGTATATGGATTCCGCAGTAACTTGAATGTGCTTGCACTGGGAAAGCCTTGGGATGGTGGTAACGTAAAGACCAGTCCTGGAGGAGGATTCAAAGTCAATTATTTGAAGGAAGCGCTGCAAAAGTACCAAAATGATAAGGAGAAGATTGTGATATTTACAGACAGGTTTATATTTAAAAATCTTTGAATGCAACACGTACGATTGATAGATCATTAATTGGTACTTATATTTATCTTTCAGTTATGATGTGATATTTTTAAGTGGCTTGGAGGAAATTGTCAGTAAATTCAAGAGTATGAACGCTAGAATTTTATTCGCCGCGGAAGGGTCATGTTGGCCAGACAAATCATTAGTCACCAAATATCCTCCTGTTGCGCAGGGGAAACGTTTCTTAAATTCAGGAGGTTTCATAGGCTATGCTTCAGATATTTATGCAATAACAACTTATCATCCTATAAAGAGTAGAGACGACGACCAGCTTTTTTACACTAAAGCGTATCTGAATGAGAAATTACGAGAAGAACATGAAATTAAGTTAGATCATAAGTCCGAAATATTTCAGAATCTCTATGGAGCTGTTGGTATGTATGCGCATGAGTCTGCTATTTTCAGTGAGAATACAATACTAATGAGATTTTTATGAACAGCTGACGTGGAATTGAAATTCGAAGGAGGAAAAGCTTCTCTCATAAACACTGTTTACAAAACGAAACCATTGGTACTCCATGGAAATGGTCGCAGTAAATTATCTTTAAATTCGTTGGGAAATTACTTAGCCCAGGCTTGGAATTCCGAAGGAGGATGTGTGATGTGCTGGGAAGGAACAACGGAACTAGATAAAACATTGCCAGAAACGTATCCAACTGTATTAATCGCTATATTCATTGAAAAGCCTACTCCCTTCTTGGAGGAATTCCTGAAAGCGGTGTACAATCAAGCTTACCCAAAATCAAAGCTTCATCTGTTTCTTCATAACAATGTGGAGTATCATCAGCACACTGTGGACACATTCATGGACGAATACGCGAAAGAATACAAGAGCAGCAAACAAATTCTCTTCAGTGATGATATCAATGAAGTTGATGCAAGAAACCTGGCCATGTACGTATGAAATGATTAATTCCAATTAGAACACTTAATATTATTTTTATTGCTTTAAAATAACAGTTGTTCTATAGGGACTATTGCTTGCTAAAGGAATGCTCTGGATATTTTTTCATTGATTCTGTTTCTCATTTGGACAATGAATTCACATTAAAGCTTTTAGTAGAGCAGCAACGAGGAATCGTTGCGCCATTGCTGGTCAGACCGTACAAAATGTGGAGTAACTTCTGGGGTGCAATTGGAGATGATGGATTTTACGCCAGGAGTTTTGATTACATGGAAATTGTGAAAAATGAGAGGAGGTGAGTGTTTGATATAAGAAATTCTCTTTTATTATTATTAACTGTATTCATTGCCTAACCTACATATACATTTCTCAAATTCTATTATAATCTTAATTAATATAATCTAACTACTCTCTAACTACTCGAAAGAGCATAAACTTAATCGAAAGCGATAGAAAAGTCAGTCTTGAAAGATCTGCGATCAATGCTGTACATATTGTCAGCTGAGCACTCATATACTCCAGCATCCATTTGAGTAGCAGGATCAATCTCTAGTTTTGACTTCACTTTATCCTTTCCAACTTGCCATTCGTGTACCTGTACAATGAACATCCATTAAGTCACCCTGTTCCATGCTTCACCATTCCAATTGAGACTGTATGTACGTACATGCAGGTAAAGATGGCTATAGATCTCAGCACCATCCTTGAACCATGTAATGTGTGGACGTGGATTTCCACGTGCGACACAGAGGAAAGCAATCTTGTGGCCCAGAACATACTCAAGATCAAAGTGAGACGCCAACAGTATCTTTGCACCCTGAATCAAACATTGTTCTTAGAAAATAGTTGAGGATTGAAACAAAGTCAACTTCGCTAATGAATCTGCCTACATTGTTGTTGTTGTAGTACTGGTCGCTCTCTGGGTCGCGGTATTTCCCAGTTATAGGCAGTCCTATTTGGAGACGCGACCTAGTTTTACCTCTGGTACGTCCTCTTCGTCCAAGAGTCTCTTGGTTGTTCAGACACAAAATGATCAACAACAACAGCATGGCCATAGAGCGTGGCATGACTAACCAGGGGTAGCAAATAGAGTCTGTGGTTAGGTCAGGTGACGAAGGATCTTCACTAGAGCACTCTGAGATCAAACAGAGCCAAACTGAAAGACTTAATTATTGAACAGAGTTTCGAATGTAGTGCAACCTTTGTCCACGCGGGAGATACTCACCGAGCACAGGCAACGTACGATGATCACACGGAACTCCGATGTAACTGACAGCCACCTAATCATTACTCCCCTAGTGTCCTCTCCTATCTATTACAAACGTATAGGCAAATACTGGTGAACCGCACTTGCGTAGCGTATACGTGAGCCGATTATTCTTTTGACACTTATTGCATGTCGGTCATCGGTAAATTTCAATTTCACATTGATACTTCACGCAGTCTAATTTGAATAGCGTGGATGCGTTTAAATGATTTGGAAAAATGATGAAAATAGAGTCAATTTACAATCGCATCAATTCGAATTAATTTCCAATATTTTGGAGTCTACAGATATTTTAGAGACGTTCTATATAAAGTTTTCTTCTTTGTGTACAGTTAATTTGAGTTTTTGATTTTGAGAAGATTTATATTAAAATATATTCTCTGTTTACATGGAGAATTTTTTTAATGGGAGTTTATTGGATAGATATATAACAGTGAGCCATTTTCAATGTTTTACGCCTCGCAGACCAGACATACCACCCTTATGAGAGTCAATTGTGATTTAATGAATGAGAGCTGGGGGAACTCTAAATTTCCAAGTGTGCTGTCACGTACAGAAAATTCTTAATGATCATGGAACGTGTGCGTTAAGGAGAGCAACCGAGTGTTTCAGATATTCTACTTACACAGATTCACAGTAATTACAGTTACGTTTTAATTGAGCAAGTGGTTAGTTGGTACAACTTCGGAGGGATTACTCATCGGTCTTCTGAAACAATTATTACGAGTCTCTTTTATTGTTTCCTTATGAACAGTTACTCTTCTGTAGAGTTGAAAATTAAGTTGTTGTTGTAATTCTTTTTTTAGATTAAGTCGTTTAAAACTAAAAGAACTATTTCGTTATCGATAATTAGTTTTATAGAAAATAATTGTGTCATTGCTCATACAGTCACAAACATTTTAATAAGTTATCATGACATAATCTGTCCTGAAACCGCGTCGATCAACAGCATACTGATTGTCAGCTTGACACTCATAATACCCGGCATCTTGCTGCGTAGCAGGATCAATTTCCATCTTTGATTTTAGAGTATCATTGCCCACAGGCCATTCGTGTACCTGTAAATGTGTGTTTCTAAATCTTAATCGTTTGTACTTGTTAGTTTCAATTGATAAAAAGTACCTGAAAGAATTTATGATGGTACAGTTCAATTCCATCCTTCAGCCATGTGATCTCAGGTCTTGGGAATCCAGTGGCCATGCAGAAAAAAGTGATCTTCCTGCCTAGCATATAGTCTAACTCGAAATGAGAAGCTTTCACTATTCTTGCTCCCTGTGGTAGTCAGAAATTCAATGTTTCCTGTTGTTTACACTATAATATTAATTGTTATGGACTCACATCTTTGTGCTCGTAATAATTGGCACTGGCTGGATTTCGATGAGGAATCAGAATTGGCATCCTAGACTTGTACACTCTTCCGCTGCGACCTCTGCTGCTACCTCTGCCTCCTCCACCTTTCGCTGCATCTGTGCTCATCAGTAAACCAATGAAGAATAGGCATATGAGTTTGCATCTGGTCATTTGTTTTATGTGAAAGATTGCATTTAATGCACAGACGAACTTTCTCTTGTAACTATTCTACTCAGGATTTGAAAATAATGTCTTGCGATACACTAATCAATGGATGTTTTGTTTAAATCTGGACATGTAGGAACTTCGTAAGTTACTTCACTAAAGAACAAGTGTTTGCGACAAGAGTAGCACACCGTGGTTTGGCCAACTGTTTGTAGACACTTCTTCCGTCAAGTGGGCAAACAAGATCAGTGGCTTTGGGTTCCTTCTGTCCCTACAGCCTAAAATATGAATGGACTGTGCTCGATGGGCATGCTGTCATTGGTGACAGAGTTATGAATCTCAATTGGATAATTATACATAACCCATTGCTGGTGTGTTCATTGACCAATCACGACTTCACAGCGATTGCCTTACAAAATATTTAAGCGATGACCTCTGAAAAACAACATTGTCTCCCATGGTTGACAAAGAACCGTATCAATCCCCTATGGATGTTGTGAGTCAGTCTCTACCAGTGGCCTCGAGCTCCTGAGAATATTGAAGCGTGATAACACCCACGTGCTGGCATTCATTGAATTAAGAATGATCTCTCTTTTCAATATCTCTCCACTGCGATGAGTAAAACGGAAATTGAAATTGAACATGAACACTAGAAAAATTAGGGAGCTGCTCGTGCTCATTAGTTACGCAATATTAAAAATGTTTTATTTATTCTCGTATGCAATATTTAAGCAAAATTATTTATTATATCTTTAAATCCTTTTAAATTTGTTAATAGTTTCTTAAAAATTGTCATGCTATTAAGGATAATTTGTATACGTTTTTAGGGGACTATGGAATGTACCTTTTGTCAGCAGCTGTTATTTGATTAACGCCACGTTAATTAGTAAAAAAGAGACTCGTCCATCTTACTTGATGGGAGATTTGGATACGGAGATGGCTTTCGCCGAATCCAATAGAGACCGATCTATTTTCATGTATGTCAGTAACAGGATTGATTTTGGGCATCTTGTTGATCCTACCAATTATGACATTTCTCTCACCAATCCTGACTTGTATCAAATTCAAGACAACAAAGTGGACTGGGAGAAAAGATACATACACGAAAGTTACGCGGAGAATTTTAACCCTGATAAAACTCCCATGCAGGCAAGCTGTCTATATTCATCTTCAATGTTATCTTTTCACTATTTCATTGCAATTAAATTGCGTTCAATTTACATTTTTTTACAGCCTTGTCCAGACGTATACTGGTTCCCCATAGTCAATGAAAGATTCACCAAGGAACTGGTGCAAGTCATGGAAGCATATGGAAAGTGGTCCGATGGAACAAATAATGTATGATAAATAATCATTAGACTGCATTTTATGCAATTGTAGCACACAGGATTTTCTAAGCCCCAGTATAACAAAAATTATGAAACATTTGTTCATTTTGAATGAAAATCTACTCTTCGACAATATAAACAAATTTCTATTCAAGTTGCATTGTTGCAAGTTAATCCATAATAATTCATAATTGCATAAATATCTGCAGTTTAATGTGTTACTGCTCTATTTATTTTCCAATATGTTAAGTAGATTGGCATCAACTTTTAATAACGAAGTTCTATCTCTGAAGTTTAGAAATGGGGGGAAGTTGTTATTTCGTTGTTGCATGGTATAGTGATACAACGGTTTGTTTAACAGGATCCTAGAATAACGGGAGGTTATGAAAACGTGCCGACTCGTGATATTCATATGAAGCAAGTAAAATATGAACACCAATGGTTATACTTCTTAAAGGAGTACGTTAGGCCCCTGCAGGAATTCGTGTTCACCGGATATTATCACGACGTAAGACACCAGTTTCTCGCCTAACGCATGATTATTTCTAGGACCCACGTATCGACGGTGGATACGAAGCCGTCCCGACGCGAGACGTTCACATGAAACAAGTCGGCCTTCACGAATCTTGGCTAGACTTCCTTTTCGAATACGTCAGCCCCTTGCAAGAGCATGTTTTTATAGGCTACTATACGAGCGTAAGAGTTCAACGAAGACCTTAAAAGAATCTCGGGAATAGGTCTCTCCGTTGGTTGCACAACATTCTCTGGCACCGAATGACATTGTCGAAGCACTACAGGGTGTTGTAAAAAAATGTTACCACACTTTGATTTACACGTTAAGCGCTACGAAAATTTTGAGTTGTTCTTTTGTAGCACTGAAAAGCAAGAACAATTATTCATTGTTTCATTCAATTATTCAACAGATTCATTACAATTGTTATCAAGTACTGAATTTCAGTGACTGACATGGCGTTTAACGTGTTAAAAATAAAAATAAAATTCAGCGTTCTACAAGATAATGAAGTGTGGCAACATCTTGTCCGACAGCCTGTATTTTCATCCCACCCACTCACTTCTTAATTAGACGCACCGCTTCCTGGTGATAGGCTTTCTGTACTTTCTCGTATAGTTGCATATGCAAACAGAAGACGTGTAAATATTTCATCACGCTGTGCATGATAAATTTTGTATGCACTGCTTTAAGGGAGAAGACCACTTAGATAAGAAAATCAATTTTTCTTGTTTAATTCTCTTGAAGTATCAGGTACATGAAATATAATAAAAGAATGTTTCAGAATCCAAACATTAACTAAAGTGCAGTGATTAAAGAACGCAGCAGTAAAATCAGAAAATTGAAAAATTTATTTTTAGACGTCGCTAGGTGGTTTGGTCTCTTAATATTTTTTACTCCTTACATTAACCTCTTGTCTGATTTATTTTGAATCAGTTCCCTTTGTCGCAACCCGTTAAAGAAAATTAAAGTATCATTTCAGTTCAAGGGGTTAAAAGAATAATTAAAGTCTTATGCGAAAGCTAGCTCTGTTCGACGATTAATTATAATTGTATGTTAACAGCCACCTCGTGCACTCATGAATTTCGTCGTGAGATACCGGCCAGACGAGCAACCATCATTGAAGCCGCACCATGACAGTTCTACCTACACCATAAACATCGCCCTGAACAAGCAAGGAGTGGACTACGAGGGTGGAGGTTGCAGATTCATTCGGTACAACTGTTCTGTGACGGACACCAAGCCAGGCTGGATGCTGCTGCATCCTGGAAGATTGACTCATTACCACGAAGGACTCAGAGTCACTAATGGTACCCGATACATCATGATCTCGTTCGTTGATCCTTGATTAACCGAATGAACCATAGGACAGTCTAAATAATGGAAACGAAAAAGATTGTGTTTATCGTTAGCAGACTGCGGACATTTATGCAAATCCAGAAAAAGAGAATTCCATGAGCATTTATTTTATGTATCAGCGTTTTAACCATAATCATTTTAACATGTATCTGTACGTATGTACTGCTGGATCACTTGATGACTAGGCAGAGGACTTCAGCTGATTAATCGATTCTCATTTTTGTCAGCAATTTTCTATTGATTGTATTTCTTAATTTTTTATATTTTTAATCATTTGCTGTTTGCTGATATGGTTACACGTGACCTATAAAAATGGGAATATGTAAATTGAAGACACCTCTTGCTTCTGCTGTTCCGACAGACATCAAATCATCTCCTAATTGTAAATACATACTACGCTTTATTGATACCTTGATTTTACTGCCAGATCATTATATTATTGCAAAAGCTTTGTTTTACTGCATATCAGAGCAAATGCATAAACTTCCGTCGTCTGATCGCTAGAAACGAAAGCAAAGTATAGATATCGTCCGGACGTGTCTCAAACCATTCTTGTCGTTCGACGCGTCTTGGAACAGTACGAGGCACAAGAATCATTCGAGCTGTGCGTACATGTTCATCCATTGGACAGTAATGTTAGTTGGAAGCAATGTCAAAGCGGACGACATGGCATGATTAAAGAAGAGGAACCTATTTCACTTCTTGATGTTATTTTTTTAATACGAGAATAGCTGCGCAGAGGGATTAGCGATCATGAACGTTTGTACGGAAATAAAAGAACAAAACATAGGTTGCATTTCTACGCCATCCATTGATGATCATCACTGGAATCACATATGCAAACACCCGTCAAGTTTTATACTTCCTTTTCCCTTTTATTAAAAATGCGGTACTTTTCTTCTGTTTTTTTTTCCTTTTAAATTATTTACAACTTACAATGTCTACACACAAATTATCGTCGTACTCGCAACGCGGAACGTCGCGTTTCATTTTTCTCGGTTAAACGATCCAACTAGCGAGAGGATTACAACACGTACACTGTGACTTTTGTTTAGAAAAAACAACGAAAGCGTCTTCACGTTCCTCAGACTTTACACGCTTCTATACACTTTCGAGTTAACGTTACGTTGTATTAGGAACATCCTTAGGATAAGTAATTAGATATAACA